TTTTTAAAGAAAAATTTGAATATAGTATAGAAATTATAATGCAAGAAGGCCAAAGTCAAAGCATTTTTGCTGCTAGGTATCAACTCTGTAAATAATTATCAACACATTACTATTGGGAAATCCAAAACACTCGCTCCTTTTAATACGTTCTCTTTGATCTCTGCGTGCTCTACTCTGTTTGTCTGCAACTGCGACTTCCCTTCAGTCGTCAGCTAAAACAATGAGCTTGCTAGGTGCTCTTTTGGTCATTTTCTATTACCTAATTCCTACACGTGTGGGACAGTTCAGAGGATAAAATAACAAACTGCCAGGAGCTGCCTAAACTGGCGTAACATGGTACCAGTCAGCAAGCCCCTTATTAAAACAAAAAAACCAAAAAGCGAAACACACACAGGAGTAAGAATTATTTATGGTATAAATGGTATAATGGTGGCTCCTTTGCCATTTTAGAGTCATGGACTAAGGAGGCAAATGAAATAGGCTCTTGATTTTTTTTTTTCATTTCAAGAATAACTAGCTGAAATAGAATTCAAGTATCAGGAATAATTCCATAAAAATAACATATGATTCAAGATTACCTTCTGTCAGGGCTTTAAAAATGTGTCTATAGTATGGTTCAGTTTCTGTGTGTGTGTGTGTGTGTGTGTGTGTGTGTGTTAGCGGTTTCTAACATACTATACTTTAACAGGTTGGAATTAAGCATCAAGTCTTCATAACAACTGACGTCCGCTGTATGAGAGAAATCTGACTTAGGACCAAGTTGGGATGGTCACGCCCGCCGCTCAGCCCCGAAAGAAGGCGCGCAGAGATCACACTCACCGCACAGCCGTCAGACAGGGCTCTGATGTAAGGGCTGTTGTCGTAGGACATTTCCTCGTCATTTGATCCCAGGAACCGAAGGGCTTTGTCATAGCTCCCTGAGGACACGTCATACCAGGCTACTGACTGATGACAGTTGTAGGTGAAGTTTTGCCGCGCAGAGGCGGTCAGCAGTTTCAGGAATGTCATTTGCACCATATTAATGGAATTGCCTTCAACATCTAAATATGAAAGCTGGGAATAGGAGGATAAAGAGACACATTAAGACTCATTTCCTCCTCTGTGCTATAAAAGAGTAAAACCACTGTCACAAGTGAACTGCGATCCCAGAAGCATGTGGATGAGTCAGCAAACCTATTTTCACTTAATGACAGAAAGTGGGCGTTGAGGGTCAGAAGATCCAGAGACAGGATTTTATGAAATAAGGATTGTATTTCCACCTGAGTTACTATCAGCGATATTTACCTTGGAAAAAAAAATCACTTTATACTTCTAGTTCCTAATCAGTCAGTAAATATTATGAAAAATGCTTTTGTTTCCAGGAAATCTTTCATTATATTGATGCATCTTTTCAAATAATAGAGTGGTAAAATAGTGAAAATGAAAATTGAGGAATATCAGTGCAATGTAACATTTAACTATTTTTATGTTGTTTGACTTCACCGATTTTGTGAATATATCTACTTGGTTCACATTTTTCAACAGGTTCCTGCATTTTTCATCTTGGGGCCACAGTCTTACAAGGCATTTTTGGTCTTCTAATCTTCAGCACAGACCTGCCTGTTTGTTCCTGGACGATATATTTATATATATTCATCTTTGTATCACCAGTGCCAAGCATAATGCCTGAGACATGAAAAGGAATATTTGTCATCTGGAAATACTTATTTTGTGTTTAGAGCAGGAAAATAGTCTTAATAGCAAGTTATTAAAAACTGTCTTTTTTGGTCAAATTCATAAATTATTTTATTGGTATAACTGAAGTATCTGGGGTCAGCTGAAACATATAAACCTAGATTTAAAAAAAAATTAAGCAAGAAATTCACCCGGATTATAGATTGTCAGTATAAAGGCAGTTGTCTCTGACTTTCTGCCTTATTGTTGATTTTACTTAATTCTTACTGATTAACAGCACAGATGAGGAGGATCCTTGAGAGGCTGCAGGAAAAAAAAACTCGGGAAATTCACTCTAAGGAAAACAAAACAGCAAAAATAAAACCACACACAGAGTTCTGTGTATGTATTTTTAACTCATATACAGATAAAGATGTAACATGGGTGTTTAACAAGTAACTGGAAGACTAAACTAGAGAGTTATGTCCAGTGGAAAACTTCACTAAAAGTTGTTAATTAATATGTGGAGGTTCTTATGGAATAACTGTATAAATAATCATCAATGGAAAATAACGGCTTTTTAAAAGAACATTAAACTATTGAAAAATTATCTGGATAATGAGAAACTTTAATTTGGATATATTCTAATTAATATTTTAAACACAAGCACACTTTTAAATAGCCTTTAAGTACAAATTTTGTTTTGGCATCTGATCTTAAAATATCTCTATAAAATTATTAGCCACAAACTGGTAATTGTAAGGAAATATCTAAGCGGACTTGTGCTATGATACAAATAAAAGTTCAGGTCAGTCAGTTCACTTTATCTCCAGCTGTAACAATTGGAAAAAAAAAAATTTCACATTCCAAAAGTTCTTATTGAATTTGAAAACAAAGAACAAATTAGGTTTCAAGCATAAAGGAAATGAAATCGAGTCAGAGGTACTAAAGAGATACTATATTGTCTATACCTGATTTTCTAGTATAATCTGTTTTATGAAAGCTATCTCAGGTACTTAGTGAAATGCATATTTTATTTGATCTTATTATTTTAGTAAATTTAATATAATTCTACATATTTTGATACAAAAGTTTTAGGCTTCTCTCTAAAATCCCGAAGTGGTCTAAGAGATTTAGATGGAGCAAACTGGGGATCGCAAGGACTCCTGCTTTGTGTAATTTAGATTTTCACAGTAAGAGTCTGGAGATACATAATTTGAGCTTCATTTACAAGGTTCAACATAAACCATTACATGTTGAAGTGATAACATACCAGTTTTCCTCTCTTGAATTCACTAAACCAGCTTCCTGGTTTCTCCTTTGGCCATGACGAAAGTCTCACCTGTTGCAAAGGAACAGGAAAATTTTTAAATGGGTTAAAGTTACGAACAGTATTGTGTATGTATGTATCAATAATTTTCAGTAAGATTAAGATGCTAAATGGTTTTCAAAATGGCCTACCCTGGATTATATAAAATGAGATAAAGAGCAAAATTTGAGATAGATCTTCTGAATTCCCATTTAGCAAAGACTGAGTCATTTTCTTCCTGTTTTCTTTAATTGCTCAAAAAGAAATGGGGAAAATAACCTGGTAAAGGCATGCTAAGGGTCGGCTGTAGGGGATATGGGTGGAACTCTTAGGTATCCCCTTGCAAAGGAAACACTCACAATGCCAGCTGGCATCTGCCATTAAGGTTCGTACCATCAGTATCTCATAGCCAAGGGAGGCATCCTGAAGTATCCTGCCAGTAATAAGAGTGGGATGCTTGGAAAAATCATTGCTGCAAGCCTGATCATCCCCTGCTGGGATAATGTTTAGAATCCTCTACAGATCTTCATTTATTGTTTTGCTTTGCAGAGATCAGCAAAGTATAAAGGTATATGAGGCCTCACTAGAGGGAATTTGCGTAATCCTGTAAGGGGAGGCGCTTCCATTTTCCCACACTTGCTGGTGGGCTGTGGTGGGGGCTTTCTTATGCTTCACTACCTACCAAGCGTGTTAGGAAACAGACATTGCTTTGTCTCCTGCCCCTAAGACGGATCCTTTACTTACAAACTTAACGTCTCTCCTAAAGAGACTAGTCACACTTTCAGCTATTTGTTTTGTTGTAAGGAATTTCTGTGCCCACACTGCTTACTAAGAAGAATGTGATTTATTAAGAGGATAGAAATAAAGTCAAAATTTACCACCTGTCAAAAGTTTGGAGACTATAATTATGCTGGTGAAAAGTCTTATATTAATCATTTGCCTGTAGCTTTAAAGACAGAACTCAAAAATACTGAGACCGCTAGGTGAAAATCAAGAAATGTGTTTGAAGAGACTAAACGTTTAAGAAGTACACAAGTGCAGAGATACTTCTATGTGATGTGAAAGAGTCATACTTTATAAAAGTGTGTTTCTGAGCATACTACACAGCTGTGAGTTCTGCCACATGGTACTTGGAATGAAAAATATTATGTATGCACTAAAATCTGAGAATCAACTGTGCTGTGTCATGGAAAGCCACAGAATTTTAGCGGGTAAGCAGGTGCATAAAGAATACATCTGGGTGAAAAATAAGAAGAGAAGTATTTATTAACTCTGTGTGTCACTTTGGTGTCTATTCATGTTTCTGCAAATGAAATGCTCTAATTACCCTGTAAGAAAAGCAGATAAATGAAAATATGACAGTAATTTTCCTGTTTAGTTCAATATTGCAAAAACACGGCAAGAACTGTCAACAGTCACCACCAAAACAGATTGGTACTTACTCCCTCCGATTTTTTGTCTGGATAAATGCAAGTCTCACCACCAGACGTGAAATTACAGTAAACTTTGAAGGAATCTCCTGAGCAACCCTGGTTAGGATCAATCCAATATTCACCTGGAAGTAGGAAAAAAATATGTCACATACAAATACATTTATATCAAAAACTGAGTATATTATATACCAAGTTTTATTAGAGAAATAAGAAAAAAATGAATATTCATTGATCTATTCCCATATGAATCCCTTATGTCTTTGGTCAAATTGAGGTGTATGTTTGACTAGTTAAAGAGTGACCCTTTGTCTTGTCTGCTCAAAGCTTTGCTAATGGCCCCATACACTCTGCCTGGAACATCCTTTTTTTTTATTCTTAGCATGTCTATTATGTTTAAGTTTCAGATTAAATCCCATCTCCTCAAATATCAGCATTCTATTTATCCATGTGTAATGAATTGCAAGTACACTGGAATCAGACATCCTCAACTCTAAATCTTATATGTATCATTTACTACTTAAGTAATCTATTCATGTAATAATATTCTTCTTGATTTGTTAATCTGTAGGATGGAAGTGATCACCTCTACTTAGCCTCAGGGTCATACTTCTGCATTATTTTACAGTAAAAACTTTTTTGTAGTAAATGTCCTCTCCCTTTCAATGGGATCCTAAGAAGAAGGTCTATTTTATATATTGAAACACAGTTTGCTATTAATTCTATTATCTAAATGGTATGAACAAGTATTACCATGTGAATGACCATGCCTGTTAATTTAGTGTTAAGTGAGTAAAGATACTAAGTAGTGGGACTGACATAAAGTTATTCCTTAAATAACTGACAATGGGGTCTTTGTTAATAAGAACTATCGGGAGGCAGAATTGATAAACACGTGATGATGACTTTGCTTCTCTCCTACCATTTTTCATGCTGCCACTTTATCTCAAATACTCATTTGAATTATGTCAATCCATTGATTATGAACTTTGAATGATTTAAAAGCTCTAACTGCTTAGCTTAGTAATGGAATTCCTGAAAATCCAATGCCAGTTTGAATTTTGAAATGAATAAAAAACATTTGGACTTTCCCTGATTACACCATTACATTCACATCTGGAACAAACCGAAATTCTCAGGCAAAAATATACACAAAAATAAAAATCATCCAAGACTTTACCAACCAGAACAACCACTCAGTCTTTGATCTTTCAATCAATCATTTAGAATTATATGGTAAGCATTTTTGATCTTCTCTTATTCAGTTAGCAGTTACTAAATATTATTTCAAATAACATACACTTAATTACTTAGATACCTTTATTCAATAAATTCAGGATGAATACCATGACTACTATGAATACCTTGTTCAATTCATTTGTAATTGATTCACTTCCTATTTCTACTGACACATCCCTAAATCAGGCCACCATTGTCTCTTGCTTAGACTAGTCTGACAGCTTCTTAACCAGCCTCCTTTGATTCCATCTTGCTTCCTTTCAAATCACTTCAAGCCATTTTTCATTTTGCTCATTATTGCAGCCACAGAGATCTTCTTTCAGTTCCTTTAAGACACCAAGATCTTGTCTTCTTTAAAGCTTTGCAAATATCCCATATCCTCTGCCTGGAATACATTTTTGATTCTTTGCATGACTGGCTATCTCTTTAAGGTTTCAGCTCAAATGGCACTTCCTCAAATAGTGACATCCTATTTATCCAAAATGAAATCACTCCCTAATTATCTAAATACCCAGGTTTTTTTTTTCTTTTTCAGAATACAGGTATTCCCCCTTCTTTCTGAAAGCTCACTTTATTCCAGTTGGCTTTTATGAAAGACTTACATTAGTATCTGTTTTCTCTAACAGAAAGAAATTGGAAGTGGATTTTTGCTTTTACAAAACGAAGTGTAAAGTGAAACGAGCATTCAGCATGTGTTTGGCAACAAGCAGTTACAGAGGCAGCGTGAACCAGGAGCAGTGAGAGCGTCACCGCCAAACTCCTTCCCCACAACTACACCCAGCATCTCAGCATCAAGCCCCATAGCTCTGAACTGTGTCTGTGAGCATCTGTGGTTTATCTCGATTTATTTTGTGCATCCTTTAGCAAGATGTATCCTAGAGTAATTGCTTCTGTGCTTTATGCCATTTTGGCTTGCAGGTTTCACAGGAACTCTCTAATTTCCGAGAGCAGGGGAAAACTGCATCTGTCATAGTGCGCTGTTATTGATACTTATGGTTCACCTGTCTCCATCATTAGACAATAGTAAATTGAGAGCATCATTCTTTCGGTTTATCTGTGCATCTCTGCCTGAAGAACAGAGCCTGGCACTGCTAAATGAATAAATATTTAATTGTAATTAATTAACACAATCAAGAATTAATAGAGCTAGTTAATATATGGAAACCACAGGGAACTATAGTCTACAACGAGCTTTCCATCTCCAAAATTTACACATTTTTTTTCTTGACTGCTCAGGTTCTACCTAATTAATCACACATTGTTTTGTGCTGTCAGCACACGCTGCCATCTTTCACATGTGATCTGCAGCTACGTGTGTATGATTTACCTTAGCTAGATCAGAAGTCTGGGTCATTCTCCTTATAAATTACTGAATTAATATGAAACTAAATGTATCTTTTTCTAATAAATATATTACAAGTTTAAAGACTTTTGATAGTGATTTGTAAAGGACCTTTAATAATTACTTGTGTTTTCATTTTAACAGGCTGTGCTTGATTGAGATAGGATTTTATGACATTCTTGTTCCTGAATTGCATGAAACTTCTCTAACTACATTGAGTTATTTAGAAAGAGCTCAGTTATTAACAGTCATTATATTATCAAAAGTGCAAAATAATATTGTCCCATGAGTAAGAAGAGTAGCGAATTATTTCCACATAAAGTGGGAGATTTAAAATCAGATGCACATCTACCCTCTTGTTAGTTTAGTGTTGTGTTAGTTAGTCAACCAACTTCGGATACTTGGAACTGGTTCCTTCTGAGAATGGGTACGTGAAGGTTTTGTCAAATAATTCATATAATAAACTATCCTGATTATTATTACAAGTAAATCATTCACAGTTGTTTTGGTTATTCGTGGATCAGTGAAATAAACGTTTGCCTCAAACAACCCTAATTCTTCAATATTCTATTGACCTTGTAGTAACTTACAGTTAAAAAAATATGAAAATGAATATATGCATGTTCCTATGTGACTGAAATATTGTGCTGTACACCAGAAATTGACACAACATTGTCAACTGACTATACTTCAATAAAAATATATTTTAAAATATTGTATTTACTAAATCATTGCTAAACTGATAGGTCACATGTGATTCAGTTATGCTACTTAATCATATTAATTTTAAAGTCAGTTAGGACATAGGATATAAATTATTATACCGTAACATCTATGTGCACACTTAAAACCAAACTTACTACAAGGCAAAATGCATTTGTGTTATCTTAATCATTCCAAAATGATATTGTTATATTTAAGGAAACCTTATTTAACAAGATAAAGATTTTCCAAAGTAGATCTTGAATTATAATCGTTTTCTTTGGTTTTATTTACAGACTATGTTAAACATTTAAGTAGAATTAATGAGCTGACAATGCACCTCGGGCACTGAGAGGCTCAGTACACTTGCTTGGCCATGTATTATTAACATACCATCTGGGAAGTCAGGATGGCTGAGCTGCAGGTCTTTGCAAGTTCGGGCTGGGTTGGTCTGTGTGCCCATTGGAAACTTCATATGCTCAATGTCTTGTTTCAAGGAATTGAGGGAACCAAATATTTCCTCCATTCCATCAGTGTAATCCAGAATATTATCTCCTGCATCTGCCTGCATGCCTTCTGCATGTCTTCTCGTTTTTTTGGGTGACAAGATTGGTAAAGGCTGAATGACTTCACCAGGCGGACCCTGCGAAAGAGATGACGGGCATGTAATTGTGTCCTAAGGTACAACATTCTGCAGATTAGTTACTGCTAATTATGTTATTGTTATAAGAAATTATAGTTTGTTCAACTTTTCAATGTTTTTCCTATTTTCAATGTTTTCTCTAATTGCTAGTGAATATGTATAACATATATATCTTTTTGATATATATATCTTTATATATAAACTTTGTAAGTTTTTAAAAAAATAATCTAGTAGAGATATTGAGGTAGGCACAGAAATCAGATGATTTCTGGACCTTTTTCTATACAAGTAACAGCACAGATCTGTGTGGACATATGGCATATATGCTACTTTCCTTATTAATTCTTCCTCATTTACTTGCCCTATCTCTGCAACAAGATTTTAGTCTCTGAAGATTAAAACAACAGTTTACGTTTCTTGTGCTGTATAATGAGTTGTCTATTGTACTTGATAATAGTTTATATAATGAAACATTCAACTTTTAACTTAAATATATCAATTAACAAACTTAAAAGAAGTGCAACCAGACTTGAATGTATATATGTGTAAGAGTAGAAATACACCAAATAGTTAATTCATATTGTGATGAATTATGTCCCACAAAAATTCCTACACAGAAGTCTAGGAACTCAGAGAAAGACCTTATTTAGCAGTGGAGTAGCTGTAGCTATAATTAATAAAGCAAATGCATATGAGGGCACTGGAGTGGATCCTATTCCAATATGACTGGTACCCTTCTAAAAAGGGGAAATTTGGGCACAAGACACACAAAGATGACATTGTGAAGAGACAAAAGAAGACAGCCTTCTAGAAGCCAAGGTGAGGGGTCTCAGACACTCCCCCGCACCCTTTCGAAGGCTCCAATGCGGCTGACACTTTGATCTAGGACTTCTGGCCCCTAGAACTGTTGGACAGTACGTTTGTGCTGTTTGAGCACCTAGTTTGTGGTACTTTGTTTCTGTAGTCCTAGCAAACTAATCCACATACGGCTTCAAAACAAGTTCAAGAAGGAAGACTCAAATTATTTCACATGGATCTAACACAACAGTTGGGCGAAGTCTGGAAAACGTCAGTGGCAGTAAATGGCAGCTATTATTACTGCTTTTATTATTATCATTCTATGCAGTAGGAAAAAAATGCCAAATGTCTGAACTTTTGTTTTTATTCCTAGGTCTTAAGGTATCTTTGTGGCAAACAAACAGCTGCATTCATGAAAATATAACATAAAAGTATATGATTTTCTTGAAAAACTAATAAAACAAGATTGTTACAATATATAGTTAAGGTTTCTTTATATTCAAAGAGTGAAACCAATTAAAAGACCGGTCTTGGCATGGAGACCTGAGTACTTAATTAAGGTAGTTGCTATTTCCTAGAAAATCAGCACTTTGACAGAATGTGCTTCTTCATCCTTATGAATTCAGAGAAATTGCTGGCAGTCTTAGGATGCCAATTGCCAGAATATCACTCTTGTTACCATGCACTTACCGGAGGCCCCGGGGGTCCTGGAAGACCACTGTCACCCTTCTGGCCAGCAGGTCCCTGTTAGAAAGAATAAGGAACAAGATAAATAGAGAACAAGGCATTTGGGTCGGCTTTGCCAAAAAATTTAAATGCCAAAGAGAAAGGTACTTACAGTTGAGCCTTTGGTACCCTTTGGACCTTGAGGACCCTAGAGAGTGCAGAGGCGAAAGTACAGATAAAACTGGAGCATCTGTGTCTCTTCGGTTATTTGTACATTTACTTTATAAAATTCTTTTGTCTCGTACTTACTGGTAAGCCTGGGGGACCAGGTGGACCTATGGGACCAGCAGGACCTGGAATTCCCTACAGAGAGAATTATCCAAATTAAAGCGTTTTTCTCAGCTATTCCATTTTCACATTTTGCAAAACAATGCACACTGCAGTTTAGCCAAAACAAAAATACATGAGAATAGCCTAAAATTTCCATTTTGAATCTAAGAAATAAGTTTTGAAAGACAATCTGTTTTTTCTTTTCCATTTTGCTGCAATGTCTCCCTCTCTACGTATACATCTTTACATTTCTGCAGCCTTCGGAGTCATCATTTGCATGTGTTGGGGATTCAATAAATGTTATGTAATTAGCCGTTGGACTATAATTTTTATGATCTTTAACTTAAGTCATATTTTTAATTTATTTACTCTAAGGTTAAATAAATTTCTTTTTGAAAACATCATTGACTTAAGATTAATCACTTCCTTGGTCATGTTTAAAGGAATATGTGCAGGTGTGTGGGTGTTCGACTGGAAAGGAGTAGGAAAATGATTTTTGTCTTTACTCACTCCGTCCCCTTTTGCTCCTGCAGATCCTTGAGTTCCAGGGAGTCCCCTGTCACCCTTTTCACCTTGTTCTCCTGGAGGACCAATCAGGCCAATTAAACCAGGATGCCCCTTTGGGAGGCAAATAAATGTTAACAATATATAAATTACAACCATATGTTAAATTATAGTCAAAATAATTTAAATTAGATAAAATTTTAACCGTTTCTAAATGAAATACAGGATTAAGAACCTCTTTCCCTCACCTAACAGGATCATTCTGCTTACATTAAGTGAGACCTTTATTAAGGGTTGGGAATATGGTCAAACAAATGCTTTCTAGAAATACCACATTTAGAGTTCCACTTAAAGAGAATTCCTTCAACTAAAAGACCAATACAGACTATAAGTAATACTGGTGAAACAAACAACTGAAAATTCATTATTTTCATAAGCATCTTATTTTATATGAAATGAGTTCTATTCTTCAGGTATTTGTAGGATCTGAGAAACACTTTGAGACTTAAAAATAGTTAAAAATATTAATGTTGTTCTAAAAAAGGTTTATTTTCTTTAACTATTTGATGCAATAGAGAATGCATATCTTTCAAATCATTATCCAAAAGATAAGTCTCACTTAAACTTTTTATTTTCATTTTGAAAAACTCTAAAAAAATGGGCATTTTGTTATTCTGTTTATTTTCTGAATAGTTATTTTAGTATAACCATATGCTTTCTCCATATGGTTCCCACAAAGGAACATTGAGAAACAGAACACTGAATTCTGGTACACTTTTCATTACTACTTTGGATATTTTCTCTTTTCTAGATTCATCTTGTAAGCTAGAGATGGACAGCTTTTTTCTTTATTAGAATGACAAAGGTATCCTTTGAAATTTCCTTTTGAGTAATTTTAATTTGCAAAATTATTGTCTCTGCTATTAGGATATCAAAATTATAATAACACATTCTTTTTTTTCTCTCTCTTTTTTTTTTAACATTTTTTATTGATTTATAATCATTTTACAACGTTGTATCAAGTAATAACACATTCTTTAATTCTTACCTTCTCACCCTTGGAACCAGGGTCACCTTTGAGACCAGGTAAGCCAGGAGGTCCCTAAATAATGAGAAATAATAAACATACATGGAGTAAGTACACATTAGAGAATCATAATATTATCCACAGGGCAAGCTGGTTTTGATAATATGACAGAGTTCAAAATAATTATTAAAAATCAGTGTTTATTTTTCAGGATTTTAAATAATCAAACTGAATGGTTTGATATTTAACCATAATAATAAAATATAATATTGATAAGTTTGATTGAATAAATATGAAATTAGAAATAGGACATGGTCTATTTGATTTTTTAGTTGAGAAGAAAGGATGCATTTTTAATTACACTAATTTTAGAGGAAGAGGTTTCCAAATTACACATTCATTTAATCAAATACTTTAGTGCTAAACTCATATTTAAAGGTTACTATATTTCCAATAAAATTTAAAGATAAAAACTTCAATAACCTTTTGACAGTCAACTGACCATTTTTAATCATTTTTCCTATGTAAACTCCAAAGATAGTATTTTTAGCTATAATTCCTGAGTTGAATCTCTTATCTAAATGATTTGTAAATGTAATAATAAGATAATTTACTTTTCTCATATGATCAGACCTCTATTTTAATAACTTAACCCTTTTTATAGTCCAAGGACAACGGATTTATCCATTTATGCTGAATTATATTTTTTATTAATTATTATATATTATATGAAAATTATGGCATGACTTTTGCAACTAACTCCTAGTCCTGACTTCTAGTCATGAAAATATTCATATTGATAACTTTGTAACAAACTCTTTTATATAAAAATTAGTGTTCTCCAAACTGAAGGCAACACAAAATAAGATCCTTGTTCTGAAATTACAACAAGTTGAACAGATTCTGTTAGAAGAAATGTAACTGACTGGTGGTTTGTTAAGTATGTGATTGATGGAATCAGGGCCAGAACAATACCTATAACACGTGAGTCACTACTGCCTACAAGTACCATGTGAAGAAACAAAGGGAAAAAACGAGTTTTCTCTATGAGTTTGAGTTATGTAGATTTAATTGAGTTATTTGAATTATAATTTCAATAATGATTTTAACATGCCACTTAGAAATCAAATTGTTTCAACTTTAACCAAACTTACTAGTTTTTACCATAGTATCTTCTACAAGGCTACCATGACTAATTTTTCCCCCCTACCTAGATAATTTGAGTCCTCACTGTGAAAGAGTACATTAAGTCCCAGTTCATCATTTTTGATGCCATGGATCTAATCCCAACAGCATGATGTAATATAAAAGCATGGGTTCAGAATAGAATAGATTTGGGATAGAAGCCAGCCTCTCTAATTAGCAATTTAAATTAGCTAGCCAAAGAGAGCTTCAGGGTTCTCATCTGTAAACCTAGGATTATATTCCTGTCTCAAGGGGCTACTGTGAGGTTGAATAGATGAGCTCTTTCCATCCCTTAGTTTCTCAAGCCAGCTCCACAAACTGAAATTCTGAACATCAGAGGAGAGAAAGAATACTGCTACAAGTCAGTCCTATGTAACAATAGTATTTTGGACTTTTATTAGTAATATTTATATTTGTTTTAATTAGGAATGCATGTGACATTCTGTAAGTACAGATATAAAAGTGAACAATTTCCCTACATCATTCTACTAACAATAGATAAAATTATTTTCACAGAAATTAGGTACAATTTTAAATGTGAATGTGCCTGATAATCTTCTAATATGAAAAGTATTAATCCTCAGATGTAAATTTATGTCAATTCACTTTAGATTCTTTTTTTGTATAAAAATAAGCAACCATGCCACTTTGTTAAATCTCTTGACAAATACTCTATCTTAGCGGATCTCAAAGTGTGATCCTCAGACCAGCAGTGTTAGCCTCATCTGTGAACATATTAGAAAAGCAAATTCCTAGGTTTTATTCACACCAACCGACTCTGAAATTCTGGAGTTAGAGACCAGCCATCTGTTTCATAGGTTTGTTACCCATTAAGGTTTGGGGAACTTGGCTCTGTGGCATTAGGTCCCAAATCTACTAAATAAATATGCAAACCAGAGATGCATTAAGGATATCATCTATGGTAAAATAAAAACACTATGCATTTAGTCTGCTAGTTCAATAATTTTAAAATTAAGGAAACATATTTTGCATCTACTTTTCTCTGATCTCATCAGAAAGGCCTGGTGAATTATTTGTTGGGAATATAATGTTGCCTAAAAGCACATTTTTGAAGGAATAATAAAATGAGTAATGGAAATAATGAAATAATTTTTTGAGGTCTTATGACCATCAGGATAGATGCCAAAATTTCTACATATTCGAACAAGATGGCGTAAAAAAGCATTAAAAAACAGCCCTAATAAAAATGTGATTCCATGAAACAACCATATACTTGTACCAGTGACAGAAACCATTTAAAAATATTGGTTAAAATTAACGTATGTAAGTTAAAAGTAAATACATTCTTTAGACTGAAAACACAAAACTATTTAAAGAGGCCAGATTTTTTTTCTATCTCTGTTTTCTCATTTTTACATTCAAACTCTTGTAGACACACAATATATTCTACAGAAATTTTGCTGCAAGTGAGAGAACTAATAGGGATGTGGCCTTTGGGGCATCAATATTCCAATCACTGCTTCATTCAGCATCTCAGGTCTACCACTCATTAGCTGGGCAATCTAGGGTCTATTCTTTCTTATCTCAGAGTTTTATTTTAAAAAGTATTCTAATAATAACTGTGTCAGAGAATTGTCATAATGAAAGAAAAACCAGGCCTACAAAAGCACTGCATATAGTGAAATGTCATGTAAATGTTAATTATTATAATTTGTTTTTGACATGGTACAGATAGTTACCAATTAGCTTTCTCATCCCATTCTAATAGTGATTCTAAAGCAGCAAAACAGAAGAAATACTAGGGATGCTAATTGCTCAAGTTTAATGAAAAACATACTAGACATTATTTGTGTTTATGATGCATTTTAAATCATTTCTATAAATATTATTCATGAAGGAGTTAGAGGAAATGAGCTTTAATTCCTCTAAGGTATTAATCTCTTATAAAATTATGAACTATATTTAAGGAGGAATTTGCCAAGCAAAATCAGTTTCTTATCATTTTCATCAGTTGGAAATAGAAATTGGTGAAGTTATGATGTTGATAGCAGTTATAAACAACCCTCTGAACCTGGAACATATCAAAAATATCAGCTCTGCATATAAAAATGTTATTTCAGGTACACATATTTTCTGTTTCCTCTTTAGGATACTGTAAATTGAAAAACCCTAGGGAAATACATAATTCATAAGTAATAAAGGGAAAAGGAAAACAGGGGTGATACATTTTTAAGTGCCTAGAATACACAACCAAATATTTCCCCTGCGGTATTATGTTGTGCAGAATATTTGCTTGGATATGCATCTCAAAATTCTAGAGCCCTGAAGTTAAAGAAACTACAGATCCTACATTTTATTTAGAATGTAATATTGTGAACTGATGCTTAATTTGGTGGAAAGCAAATGCTTTGTTGTTTAATCATTGTTTAATCAGTCAACCTGCTTAGTCATTACAGAATGTTATGCATCTCAAACCTGTTTACAGATTATTTAAATGTAGCATTTAAAAAAATAAAAATATAATTCAGTAACCCATCCTACCATTTATTCAGGCACTTACTGTTTTTTAAAATGATGTTATCAAATATTTTATTTATCAATATGTGAAAAGAATTAATGTGTGATAATAGTAAGGTAAACATGTCCAAAGATAATTATTGACCAATTTTTCAGCTATACTGAAACAAGTAGGTTCTTAAAATGAAAGATTATGAAACAAAACAAAATAAAAGCTTAAACTAAAATAGATACTAATCATGCCTTCAAAAGATAAAATAATTAGTTTGAAATGATTACATCATGTAAATTTTGACTAAGCAGCAGGGGAGAGAATGTAGAACGATTATGATTCTCTCCTAAACACTCCATTTTATTCCCATTTGATTTTTGTTGACTATTTACTAAAAAAAAAGCTTAAAAAGAATCAGCCAAAGCATTCTTTATACCGTCTCATCCTTGTCCTTCGTGTCCTCTTTTCCTTCACATGTGCTACTTATCTATTCTTAGTTCCACATGATGATTCTGAATATTTATCTATATATAACATTCATGCATATGTAAAAGTTTAATTTTTACCATGAGAAATATTTAAATTTTAAGGTAAAAAATAAAAACTGTACCATATTTAAACTCTGGTATAGCTGATCATATAGAGTGGTCAAATACAAAATATCATGGTAAGAGCTTGAACAGATGTTTGTCTCACTCTAGACCAAAGAATTTCCAATCCAAAGGTTAACATAAAGTTATTAAACTGTTGCTTAAATAGCAAATGGTCTAAGTTTTTTTTTTAACAAATAAGTCATTTAATTAACATAAGAACCCAATGGGGTAAAAGATATTAATATCCCCATTTAATTCATTTTAATGTCATAATACCCTGTAAGACAGATACTATGCATATTCTCATTTCACAGACAAGAAATCTAAAGCTTAAAAAAAATTGAGTAACTTTCCTAAAAGTCATCCACCAAGCAAGCAGTAGTGCTCGTTTTTAAACCAGGGCACTTGGGTTGAGAGTTGATGATCTTAACCAGCAATCACGATATACCACTTCTGAGTCTAATCCAAAATTGCCTACTAAAATAAGTATTTCTTAGCTGAGTTGAAAAGCTCATTGAACTGCTATAAAAGACAACCTGAAGATGATTTCTCCACCCATCCTCATCTCATGAAGACCAAGTAGCATCTTCATTAAAATTAGATATCACAGTCAAACTATTTGATGCTATGAAAATGCTACCGTATATTCACATTCTAAGTACTCTCTGATAAAATGAGCAGTCAGAGAAAGGAATGGCATTCAGGCTGCTTGATTCTGATGCTCTTCATTTCACTGCCCAGAAGGGTGTGAGTTGTTCAGCTCCTTGCTCTGTAAACCCACATTTACCTAAGATTCATAAATATAAACTTTTCCAAGCCAGAGTCAGGTGGTACGTCTGATGGTTTTATTTTTAATATTAGCTGAAGGAAATCTCCAGCATGTTTTTTATTTCATCTGGAGAAAGGTCAGAATACTTATTGGAAAATGTGAAATAACAAGAAAAACCTTTGGCAAATTTTAGGGTGATATTAAGGTGAAGCATTTTTTTCCTGGGCTCTTGACTCTGCACCGTTAGGGGTTTAGCATGTCTAAGAAGAATATTCCCTGAATAGTGGTGCAGATGTGGAGCAGCGGATCCTGCTTCAGCCAAGCCCCTGTTCCTATGCCAATGGGTTCATTATCAGATTTGATAATTTCAAAATTTGGTAACCTCTGTCCAGTTATTAAAATAAGTGATCTTTAACTTTTCAGTGAAAGGTAAAAAAAATCTCTGTAACTTTTAGGAAATATCTGAAATGTTAGAGAAAATTTTTGTAACATTTTTACTAAAAGGAATGGCCAAATTCTCCAGAATAATTAAGATCGCAAATCTCAGTTTTGGTGGCTTTCTGAGCACGTACACATTTCTGAGGTAACTGATACATTCATGATAAGAGGCAGTTTTATAAGATTTAAATTTCTTTACTCAGGACTCTATTTAAACCAACAGACATTACACTTGCAAAGGGCGATATATACTGCTTCCTGTTTTAATTAATCCCTTTATATTGTCATTATTTTGGGACAATGAAGTTCAGGTATCTCTACCATAAAACAGAATCTGTCACTTAGCAAGCAACGATTTTAAAGGCAAGGCTTAGATTCTCACTTTCTGCCCAAATTTTATAGCAAGGATAGCCTTGGCTCCTACAATAAACTCCATGTATGAACCATAGGCTGGTCAACTGAATGCTTTACTGCATTTCCCAAGTGTGTTGTTTGCGTACAACGTTTATGATAGTAGCCAAGCTTCAGTGTTGTAATAATCACACCTCTCTTCACTCATGGGGGTTAATGTTTCATCTTTCAGCCCATATGACTCACGAAGAGAACAACTTATGTGGTGAAAGAATCACTGGATGTCTGTGCCAACGCTATTCTTTTAAATGAAGTGCCAGGAAACTAAGTGTAATTGCATGCATTTGGGGGAACTATCCACATTTGGAAAAGAACTGGCTGGGCCATTAGTGGCATTTTATTCAGAGTGGAAATATTTGTTTCATCCAATGTCCATAAGAAAGGAACGATTTTCTGATCAAGGGCATATTTTCCAAATAACTTACCAGTTAGCATTATTTTCCTCTTTTTAGATCTGAGTAATTTCAGTTCCTTGAATATTATCCTACATATAACCAATTTACAAGAAAAAATTTCATGAATTCTAGCTTATGAGCAATTTCATTTCTGGAATTCGAAACGACACATAAGGTGCTACTCACCATAGGACCAGGTGGTCCATCTTGGCCTGCAGCTCCAGGGAGACCTTGCTCTCCCTGTGGAAAAAGAAATACGATTGATTTTTTAAATTAACAAAGGCAGGTTTTTTCCCCCTGTAGTTTAATTTTGGTAATACAAAAAAGAAAGAAAGCATTCCATCACACAGAGAACATCTACAAATACTGTAAGCAATTTTTTTCAGTTTTTGTACTTTCTGTGTTTATGTCTACATGCACATGCATACGCACACATATATGGATTGATGGAAGCATGTATAGAATTTTTACGTCTTTGAGATCTCAGGGTTTAGTTTTCTAGTCTAGCTTTATAAGTTAGAATTCCACTATGAACTTATTAAATAAATGACATGCTTAAATATTTTAAAAATCCCTGTCTTTAATTATTACATAATATTTACTGAATTCTCATAAAACATCCACACGGTAATTTGTAAAATAATGCTGACATAAACATTTTCATTCATTTTTTTTTTTTTTTTTTTAGAAATAAGACGTTCTTTTCAAAATGACATATTTCAGCACAGATGCTCACCACAGGGCCAGGGATGCCCCGAAGACCCTCTGGTCCAGGCTTTCCAGCAGGTCCCTGAGGACCAACTGGGCCAGTTTTTCCTGCAGGACCTTCGGCTCCTGCTTCTCCCTGTTAGAAAATAAAATACATGAACACACTCATAATGAAGAAAGATATGTTATCATTTTATTAAAAGTACTGGAATGGATGTTGTTCAATGAACAATGAGTTTTTCAAGCATAACACCTACAAAGTATATTTTACCTTAGCGCCTTTTTCACCTTGTCTTCCCTCTGCACCTGCAGCACCAGGAGGACCCTATAAACATAAAACTACATTTAAAATATGTATCACATATAAAAGTAATGTAACTGAGAACTTATTTACAAATACTCTAGTTTAATTTGTAACAGAGCCTAATACAGTGTGGCTTTCTATAGCTATTTAGTTTAAAACACAGTAAGGAAAATCAAAACCCTTTTTATGTACAAACTTTTAGCTAGAATCTTAAGGATAAATGAAGCAAAGATTGAGTGGAATACAGATCATCACATCATAGTTAATGTAAGGAGACAATAAAGATACAATTTTGAAAGAAATGCTGATAACTCTGTCACCCTTAGTGTGATAAATACTCAGATATCATTTATTATGTTGAATAATTAGGAATGAATTGAAGGTTTTGAATTCACTTCCATCATTATATCTGTTTTAAGACTGGCTCCTTAATTAATCTCAGAAGAACCATGCATTACACATTCTCATAATATCGTGTTCAAACTAGAACAGCACAAAATTAACGATCTTGCTGGTCAACAGATACTGTATTTTCATTCTCAGAACTATGTAATTTGCATGAAGAAATGGCATAAAATATAGCATCACTTTTTAAAACCTAGTATTGGAGAAAAAGCAGAAAAAATATTCATACTCCATATGCCATTCAAAAGCTTGAGAAGTTACTCTGGAATTTGCATAACTTTTGTCCTGCTGCATGGATTGCTATGGAGAAATGCTAATTTAAAACTTTTCATAATACTACTTCATATATATAGTTTTCTATCTTTGTGGGATACCTATTTACCTAATTCTTTATTTCTTTTTTATTAGCTGTGTGACTTTTAACATATTGTATTTTTGAACTTCAGTTCTTTCATCCATAAAATATTATTAATAAGAATTCTCTTGCTATAGAATTGTCATTAAATTTAAATGATATAACACATGAAAAAGGTATTTTGTGAACTTTCCAGTATAGCTGTATCAAATATAGGTACGGAATCTGGTGCTTCAGATCATAAAGCCTGGACTCAGACTTCCTGGCTTTAAATCCTGGCTCTGCCACCAACTAGCTTTGTGATCTTTGGCAAGTTATACACCCTATGAGTGATTCAGTTTACTTCTCTGCAAAATATGGATTATAATAGTAGCTGTCTCCCAGCGTCATTATGAGAATTCAGTTAGTTGATACTTGTAAATGTAAACAAGAGCCTGAGACACGAAAAAATCTGTGCAAATATTAGTTATTGTTATTATTACTAAAATGATTATATATTGTTATTTTATAGAAACTCTATTAAAGTATTTTACCAAAACTTTTCACAATGCTGGCAACCTAAGAATCAGGTTAAACAAAACTGACTTTCAAAATACAACTGCAGACACCATGTCAACAAATCACTTTTTCTATGCATGCTGTTTATAATCCCTGAAAAACATAAACTCCATATTTGAAACTACTTGTTTTAATCAGAAAGTTGAAAGTTGGTTAAAAATATATTGTAGAATATGATCTTGTAATATATAACCGAATCCTGAAAATTTGGCGTTCAGATTTCCTTCTTACATTTACATAAGTCATCTGTGAAATACAAAACTTGAAATTTCTAAAACTTGTAACAAACATGTAGAAAAGAATCATTTACATTATATAACATATAGTATTCAAGGTATCAAGGACAACGATTTTTCAAACTAGAAATATACTAAAAATTCCCATTATATCTAAATTTTGTTCCTACTCATTACATTGGGTCTTTGATATTTTCACTTACAGTATTTCATAGAAACCTTTCAAATCAATGCAAACACGACACTTGGTTTGATAGCCCACTAAAATAAGAGTCCTTTCGGCCTTTTATTATCTTGGGCTGCACAATATATATATTCATAATAGATTCCCTCTAAGACATAAAATTGATAATTATCTTATAAAATATTTTTTCATTTCCACTTACTAATTGATTTTTACTAATACTTAACAAACACAAAGATTCCATATGAATCTTAACTGTGCTGAAACTTTCTGCATATGTTCAGACATAATAGAGAGTTTAAAAAAGAAATAATGATCCCTGAAAAAATTGTATTTAATTTTCCCCTATACTCTTTGTTTCCCATTTGTTTACTTCAGTTTTTGTTATAAACTGTGCTCAAAATCATTAAATGAGATTGAGATTGGAGGCTAGGGAGTGTAGCAGAGATGGTATCAAATGGGGAAAATAAGGTGAGGCAGGAGGTTGACTTTTTCAGATGCTATATTAATATTCTAATAGTGAGTCATGCTAGTCTTTTCATACGGTCTTTTAAATCCACATTTAAAATGAGTATCAAGCATTTTATGAAACTTAAGAGAGTTCTGCGGCCTCATTTATCTCTCAGAGAGAAAGTTAATATATCATTAGTAATTATTTTTTCAACATCATCACCGTTAACTTCATTTATTATTAGACATTCATTGTGCTTTGACCCAAAGATAAGAAATGTACAAATTCTGTAAGCAGACGCTTGAAGCAGCAGCAATTTGTTAACAATAACACAGGCATTAAAAATTAAGTGTCATCTTTTGAATTTCATACTATTTATGCAAGAGGATTTCTATATAGAAGCATGAGCTTCAAATATTTCTTAGTGTCAAAGTGTTGGTTTAACACTTTAAACATTTTGGTTTACAGATGGTAATGAGACTTATTGTCATGATTATTTTGTAATGTATAAAAATATCCAATCACTATGTTACACATTGAAACTAATATATTGTAAGTCAATTGTACTTCAATTAAAAACATTTTGTTGTAATGTTTAAAATACAACCTAGCCATAATGACTATTATTTGGAGAACAGAAATTCTGAGATTCAACTGAATAATGGGCATTTCCTGAGTCTATGAAGGTTTTTCCTTAAAATCGTGACATAAAGGTATGGGGCATTAACCTCAAGGCTGCATTTACACACTTGAATTTTATCGTTTAGAAGATTTATAAATATCTGGCTTAAAAAAAGCAAGTCATCAATTGTCTAAAAATGTAACAAAAATAAATATTGTTTGGGAGAAAAGAAAATTTGAATTTGAAAAGCCTAGAGAATTTAAACACAAGTAAACTACAACACAGCTACAAAACTATGATTCGAGTAAAAAGTTTCTTCAAATCAAAAGGATGACTTTCCTCTTTGAAAAAATGCCTGATGTCTATCATGGTAGAAATCCACATTAAATGGTTTTACTCTGTTTTCTATCCTCATTTTTTCCATTTTCATTTATTCCTGATATTTTTTCCAGATGGCATAGTTTTTTTTTTTTTGAAGAAAAACTAGGATGAAAAACAGATAACACACTTTTTCCAAGAGAATAGGAAGTTTCCTTTGAAAAAAACTATTCATGCTTATGAACAAATTCTTGTTTTAGTCATTTCTTTCTCATGTATCTGCATAAACAGAGCAGCAAGACTTAATGTAGTGAATTACTTGCTGTACTACCATGAAATAATAAGTATTCTGATTGGAAAATGCCTCATAAAACATGATACAATAAAACAGACCCTGGCTGAGTTTCTATCAGTAATCACTGTTACATGAAATTTTCCTTGCTATGAGAAATATACTTTATATAAAATACACAGTATAATCCTCTTTCCACTATTTACACATTACAGTATTATTTCACAATTTATCCACTCTTCCATGCATATTGCAAATTTTTAACTCTTCCTTATATGCCAGCATATCCTGTGCATGGACAACAAAAAAAAGAAAAAAGAAATTCTAAGGAGTTCACAAAGTTTAGTAATGAAGGTAGACAATAAAATAAACAAATATAGTACATTGTAAAACACGCAAAGGTGAAGTAGGCATGCAGAGTAGGTACACTGATCTAGTTTGGCAGTAGGGAAGGCTTTCCTAAGAACCTAATCTCTGATCTTAATCATAGTGTGCACAGATATGGGAGGGATGCTTCCCTCTAACACTTCACCATCTGACCATTCACATTCATGAATAAAGGCACAGGGATGGAAATAACAGATACATA